GAGCAAGCAGCTGTGTGGTGCTCAGTTGCCGACTGAGGTTAAAACACAACAATTTGTAATTTTTGTAAAAATTTATTAATATTTGTAAAAACATATGCAGTCATTTTACCTGAAAATATCCTTTATAGGACAGTGTCTGTCCTGAAACATACTTAGCCCCATTAGATGTAAGGACAATCTCAGTGACTTGTCTTTTGATCTTCCTGTTGTTAATTGGCTCATCCACTTTTAAACTTCTCACCATTACTCCTACATAACCTAGCTCCTTTATGAGCTTCTCTCTTACAACCAGAGGAATGTTCCTAGCAGCACACGTGGCTGTGAAAATACAGCTCTATATTCTGTGTCCACTTTGTCTCGGACACTAAAGATTACTGGGTACTGATCTCCTGCATTTATGGTTCCTTCATCAGACTCACTGCTTTAACCAAGCCCAGGCCTAGGCATGTTTTAGACCAACTATTAGATCTTTCTGCCTAAAAAATTAAACTACTGTGTTTATCTTCGCTTTTCAATTTAAGTTCATACAATCCTTTAGTAGGAGTTAGATTCTTGGTAGACACCCTCAGTTTCAATAGTCTTTCTTCAAATGTAGAGATTCCTGAGCCAGATTTTTTATAGCGTGTTTGGAGGTAACATTGACTGAGCACCAGTTTTGAATTTAGAGGTGTTTATTCTTAGTCTGCAGCCCCCTTGTGCAGCTTTTGCACAGAATCTCTACGTGGTATTTTGTTGTATTTTTGGTTTATGCACCATCACATAGATCTGGGGATAAGTAGGGTATTCTCTTTTGCTTCTGCTTTTCCAGTTGCAAAGTCTCGCAAAATAACCATATTTCTTATAGCTCCTGCAGAATTTCTAAACTCCGGGACATAATATGAATCTGTGAATTCTTATATATTTCACTTTGGCTACTTCTTGCAAATAGCTCTGAAAAGTCTCTTCAAAACTCTCCTAGTTTCCTTTCCTGACAGACAGCATGTCCTGCTCCCCTTCTGATATTTCCATACTGTCCCTTATGACTGTCCAAGCTTGACTAAACAGATTTTTCTACCCTTTTTTTTTTTTAAGATCCTACCTACCTTCCTGGGATCTTTTCTCTATCTTTGGATCTTTGATGCCAATCACTATCTGATCCCTTAAAATGGAATCTCTGAAAATGTCATAGCTACTTGACTGATCCGTTATTTTAAGATCAGCTAAAAATTCTTCAAAGGATTCCTTCTTCTGCATTCTCATATGAAACCTGTGTTTTTCAAAAGTTCAAGTTTCCTTGGGAGTGCAATATTCCTTCAACTTACTTTCTGTAGCTGCATGGATTGCCCTCTCACCCTGGCTTGGTTTCATGCCATTAAAAACTTTGATAGCTCCTACTTCTGTAATATTCCAGAAAATAGTTGTGAGCTTCCTTATGATTAATCTAGCCACTGTATATAGGTTTCAAAGCATGACGTGAATCTTTTCAAGGAAACCGCAATATTGCCAGTGTGTTTTAGAGTCTCTAAAAGCCCCTAAAGAGCCATCACCTCTTCTCTCACTTTCAGATCTCTTTTTTCCTAGTTAATTCCTTCCTCTTTTTCACATTCTGCTCCTGTTACTATGTGGTACTTGGTTTACACTCAAATCAAGACTTGGAAAGAGTATAGAAGTATGCTGCAGAGGGTGCACATCAGTCAGAGTGCACTTGCATTACACTCAAGCTGGCTTTGTTGTCTTGAATCTCCACGTATCTAATTACTGACTAACCAGTTCAGACTCCTTCAACCTCCTCTTAGATATGAGACCCTAGAGATCCAACATCTGCTAATTACATCTCTGAATTTTAACTTTTATTATGTTCAGAAGCCTACAGACTTTCCAGCAGAGACACAAATCTAAAATCTCCTGACAGAGGGTTTGCTTTTTTTGAGTTACTGTAACGTGCCACAGCTTAAAAACCACAGCTTTATAGCGATTGCAAAGGGGCAATGATGGAGGAGGATGGATGCCGAGGCCCAGCAAGACACCAAGAGAGTCACACCTGGGAAGCAGGATACAGCAGCATAAAAGCCAAAAACTGCTGACCACCATAAGGGCAGTTTGTGATTTCAGTGAGACTGATCTCCCTCCAGCCCCAGAAGACTATTTAGCACTGCTCCTTCCATCTTGCAAGGGTGTGCTTTGAAGGTGTGATATGGTCCACGTTGTACCCTCATTGCAGAAAATTTCTGGAACCCTTTTCAACTGCATATTACTTTCAGTGCCTGTCTTCATCACCACTATCATCTTCCACTTAAATCTCCCCAGTGAAAGTAAAGGCTGAAGTAAAATCAAAACAGTTTTTGAGATTCATAGTTTTGGGAAATTGAGGCATTCAACATTTTTGGACTGATAAAAGATTTCCAAGCAGTAATTATTCCACTCACAGCAGTAAATATGTGCGTGGAGAAAATGAGGATTAAAACCATAGATCAAGCTACATTGCCAAAACATATTTTCTTGCAAATGTTTTGTATTTTTCTTGAAGAGCTGGAGAGCCACTGTTCAATGTCTGTTTCTAATTTGGGCGATTTGTTCCTGTGAGTTACAACAAAAGCAAAAGGAAAAAAAAAGTGCACAGCAGTATGTTTTGAATTGTAAGATGTTCAGAGCTTTTGTCTGCCTCACAGTGTGTAATCACAGGGCACTGAAACTTCTCCAAAGCTGTTAGGGTGAGGTTCACAGCCCTTGCAGAAAGCCAGAAGAAAGGGCACAGGCTGGATGCAGCCACTGTGCAAATAGAAATGAGAGGGCTTAAGCAAGATCACAGAAAGGGGAGTGGGTGCTGCTCCCAGTGCTGCTTAAGTGAGTCCTATAACCAGCAAATTCGCACCTCAGGCAAATATTTCCTCCCAGTCTGAATTTGGCAGGTGAAAGGAATCAGTTTTCCAACTCACTGAGAATGAAGCGGGGGCTGAGACCCACATGGATCACCAGGGTTAGGTTTTGCAGCTACTGCATCCGTTTTCCTGACCAAGAGCAGATCTCCTTTACGGTAGAAGGGCATGGTGCCCACCTGTGCTTCCCGTATCTCAGCTGTCTTATGTGGTCCTGGAGCGGAAGGCTGACACTTGGCTGGATCGCTGCCTTCACAGCCACCCTGCGGATGGATTTCATCCGTCAGACAATGACTCTGGCTTAGGAGTCATTTATGGCTTTCCAGGGCCTTATGTTAAATCTGAGGAGTTCAGATGCCTGGATTCAACTCCTCTTGCACTTCCAGCTTTCCGAGAGAGAAAACCAGACAGGAACTGCTACCACAGGACTGCTCCCACCGGCCAGGAGGTGGGTGAGGAAGCGTGGGAGACAAGAAGAGAACATTCAGAGGAACTGAAAGGTGGCAATAATCAATAACAAGACATACTTTTGCAGACCATGAGCGATTAAGCTGTGAACTCATTCCCAAAGGAAGCTGCAGGTGCCAGAAATTTCAAAAGATTAAGAACAGAACTGGATGTCTTACATATGTAAATCAAGAAATGCCAGAATCTAACAAATGATTAGAACATAATTTTTGAAAGGGATATAAAAGTCCCATCTGCAGGTTTAAACCAAACTCTGTCATTGCCCAGGATGAGACAGCCCCAGTGCAGGGGGCAGAATGTTCCATGTCCATCTATTAGAAGGCTGCTCCACCTCAACCAGAAACACCTGGCTCTGGTTGCTAGCAGGTAACTGAATCCAGTGATACTTGACCCAGTCTGCCAATTTCTGTTCTCCTCCAAATTATGGTTAAGCAACAGCTATGCACTCGTATGTGTATATTTGTGTGTCTAGTTGCCATATACATAGTTCTATACATAGTTGTTGTTATGGCAGATTCTCAAAAGTAAATAATTCTAAATGACGTGGACCTGCCAGCATGTCACATCATGACTATTTTATTTTTACCCAGCATGTCTTCCCCATTGATTTAATTACTCTCCAGCTGCTTAAGGATGAGTATTTGCATCTTTGAGACACACTGCATAATTTCTGCTTGCAGCACAGCATCTTCCCTACTTGCAGAGCTGCTTCTTATTTATAGCATTGGAGTCAGGGCTGCCTTGCACTTGGCATTACACTAACAGGAAAGACATAGAAGGTTCCTGACCAAAAGAGCTCTTCATCCAAGTGTAAGACTAGAGACCACTGTTTAGTACAACAAATGGAGCAGAAGAGCCCAGTATGAGACAGTTAGGGCCTAAATTTCACATCAGACAGTTATAAATACAGTAATAAGCAATGCCTACAACACAGCAGCTGCCTAACCATCTCTGTTGTATATGATGCAATTTTTTACAGGTGGAATGCTCGTTGATACCTGTGGGTGTCATAAGTGCAGTTTATGCCAGAGAGCTGCAATGCAGGTGGGAGAGTTGTGATACTGAAAAGAAAGGACAGTTTTGCCCTTGATTCCTTCAGCCTCTTTGGGATACTGAAAAACAGAATTTAAAAAAGCAGGGTAAAAAGGCAAAAGCCTTAGCTTACAGGCTTCTCTCTGTGTTTTGTGATTTTTTTTGTCTAATGATTTCCCAAGCTGCCTCTTTATCTGCAAGACAAGGCTGCTCTTTGTTTATGAGTGTATCACCTTTACCAACAATGTCATGGGGAATTATCATTCTTATCGATAATAATTTTTTAGTTCCTACAACTTCCAGACACTTTCCAAGCACAAAAGAAAGCAAATCTGTGCTCTTGGGGGTATATTTTTACATGTTATTTGCTCCTGAGGGTTTATACTCCTAAATAAAAAAACCCCAAAACAACAGTTCAGGAGAAGAGCGAAAGCACAAGCAGAAAACATGATAAGCATCCAGGTGGTGTCTATCCACAACCTGGAAATATAAAGTTCTAACAGCACTGTACTGGTGCAGAGGATTCTCCTGCTGCCTCAATCTGCTGGCAGGTGCAGGAATCCTATAGCAGCAGCAGGCTGATCACTGCTGACTCACTAGGGCAAGCATGGATCATTAGACTCCACTCTGAGTAGGATATCATTTTGTCATTTGTTTGTCAAATGCTCTTCTCAGGAGCAATGACCTATTAACTCTGTGAGTGTTGATTTTGTTTGAGGCAGAGACGACTCTTGCTTGGAGACAAGATGCTTATTTCTGTCATATGGAGCCAGGGTCCATCCTTGTCAAGGCTGTTTTTTGCTGCATCTACAAAGCCATTTACTAACAATTTAACTAGCTGCTAGAGGGAAGTGAAACCAACTGTGATTGCTACTTGGCCCTCATCCAAGGAAGAGGGTAGGTTATGGGACCACAGTGTCCTACACATCCAGCCATTCCAGCTGCAAGGAAAGCTCCTGTTGAGTGTGATCAGGTAGGTCTAAGTCTACGTTGCCCAAAGCAGTCTGAGAAGAAGAGACCTGCAGGGTGACAAAAACTGCACTTGCTCTTCTCCCTCGATCTGAGCTGACAGCAGCGTTAGGACTGGAACCACAAGCTGAGATGATACCAATAAACAGGCCAGGGAGTGCTCCGGGCACAGAAGCCAGCTGGCGCATCTCTGCTAGTGAACCTTCTTAGCCGCCGAGAGGGAGCAGCTGCCTGCAAACTGCCTATTAGGAACGGTCCTTGAAGCATTCTTGCTCCCAAACGGTGCTGGGAGTGATCAGGAAAAACATTCGCTGACACAGGCCAAAGCATGATGAGGACTGTTTCGGCAGTCTAGCAGCATAGATGACTGAGTCTGGGAATGCCTCTGGACATTCTGATTTGTCAGTATAGATGCTGCCATAAAGTCCGTAAAATAAGTAATATAAGCCATGGAGAATATCTATTGAAAAAGTCTCACAGTGCACACTGAGCTAGGCTAATCTCCAGCAAATCAAGGGAATAACACTATGGATAAGCTTGGTCGGTCCAGTACCTTCTGAGACTCCTTTTCAGTCTTTTTTTTGTAAAATTACATTTGTATTGTACACAGTGTCATCTTAACAAACGAAACACAAACACAGAAAGTTATATGCTAAGCTCATAAATAACTTACTTGATCTGCTTTTTAATTTCTCTTACATGCAAAGCTTTAGTTTGCTGTTTCTGCTGCTCTTCCAGCTTTGAATGCTTCTTTTGTTGATTATTATAATGTGCTTGTAAACGTGCATAGCTGCCTTCTGTGATGTGTCTGCTGAGCCCTGCGTCAGCGGGTGCAAACTCTATCCCCAGTTTCTGTAAAAATTCTTGGTGAGTAAGATATCCTTTTGCATCTGTATCATACCTTGAAAAAGAAATGCTCTTTTTAAATATTCATGTGCTCTTCATAGAAAGGCATTACAGATGTCCTTAAGTGACTTAACAGCTTAAATCTCACTGACTTCCCTTCCTTATAGAGGTGCCATTCCACACTGAGAATGAGTGGCTTTATACGAGACTCGAAAGATAGGGCTTATGCATTGTAATCACAGAGTCGATTCTGAAAATACTACCCTGAGGACCAAACTGTCAGGAGTATTCTCCAGCTCTCCGTACTGCTGCCTTTCAGTGTCTGGCTTGAGGTGCAGAGAACTGGGCTCCTAAAAATTCAGTCTCAAGTGTCTCAAACTGCTCACACAAGTCTGAGATGCTCAGAATTGTAATCATCCTTCAGAAATGTAGGTTTAGCTTCATAAACACTTTTCATATTTTCTTAGGTATAAACCATTCCATAGGCTTTTCCCCTGCAGTTTCTCCCCCTGCTAGTGCTCCGATGCATGGTAATGCCTAATTTAGCCTCAGCTTCACTCTAATTCCTTTATTCAAGTTACAGACATATCAGGCACGTAAGAGATTTTAGCTATTCTATTAAAGGAGTGGCTGATGGGAGTGAAGTTTTGCAGCAGATAACTGCATGAAAAGGATACTCTTCAGTGTGCCATGGCATCCATAAGGAATAAGAATGGAAAGTAAAATCTAATGGAGTAGAAAATAATTCAGAGATGAATCAGTGCTAAGAAAAAACTATATAGTTAATGCAGTTTGAAACCAAAATGCAATACACTTAGGTTCTATATGTTAGAGAGAGAGATTATTTTTTTAAATAGACCTGCAATGAAGGTAGCTTTTTATATAATGTCACATACAGCTGACATCTTTGTCATTTCAAACACAGTTTATAGCACAGCTCCTCTTCGTTGAAGGCAGACAAGTATTTTCCCCCACTTTCCAACAAATTACTTGTCTATAAAAACATTTCATGATATTACTCGCCACCTTTACAAAGCATGAAATTACCTTACTTTCTTTTGTTATGTATTTGGTATGTAGCATTTTTCTTTTGACTGAATCACTTTTACTTAGGTTGAAAATATTGTAAGTAAATTTTGTGCTCTGGAAAGGAGAAGCTGGTGGCATTGCCTTCAGACGGGTATGCAATGCAGACCCTCCACGGAGCTCCTTGATGGAAGCTTTGTCTGCAGTTCCCAGCTGGCCCGAGACACTTGGAACTGACTTTCACCCATCACAAGCTAAGGCAGGCGTTTGTGTGTATAAACAAAATTGATGAAAACCAAGTTAATTTAACCAGTGACCTAAGGTGCTGTCCAAGAAGAAAATGCATGTTACATCAAAGGGAGCAGTAAAACTGAAGCCAAGAGAAAGTCCTATCGGAAACTGATGGATCTAGTTGTATACTTGAGCTTAGTATGATAAGACATAGCCTCCTGTAACACAGTGTCATGATCTGAGGTCACAATCATAACAAAATAAAAGATTTCTTGTGCAGTGTAATCTATTGTCATTCGCTGCACTACCAAAGGCTCTGTAATCCTATAAAAGATACATTATTGCAAGAGCTAATCATTTAGAGTTGTCATACCTTGCCCAAAGCTGCTTAAATTCTTCCAGGGTGATTGGAATGCCAAATCTGAACAAGACTTTCTTCAAGTCCCTTGGCTGTATAACGCCATTTCCTTCACTATCAAATTCCTGAAAATTCTGGAATGTAAAAGAAATCATCACTAACAAGAACCAACAAGTCTGACAAAATGTTTGATCTCTCTATAAGCTTAATGAATAATGGGAATTGAGAAAGAAACGGAAAATCACGCACGTCTGAATTTCATCTTTTAATGTTTTTCTCATTTGATTTTTACTGTTTCCTACTTTCCACTATGGATGTGCAACTCTCAAAAGCTTGAATTGGGATTGACATCACAGGTGTTTAGGTGACATACTCTGTGTGAAAAGTTTCTTACTGATGGCAAACACAGGGGATATGAGCATGAGAAGCGTGCACGCAGCTGTGGGTATGCCCACTGCTGAAGCATGCCAGTGGGAGATGAAGGCGCTGGAAAATGGCAGACCTGAAGATTTTCTCCCCAACTTGTTCTATACCTAATATGAATTAGATTTTGCTTTGGGTTTTGGTTGGTTGGGTGGGTGGGTTTGTTGGGTTTTTTACCATTCATCTTGCAAACTGAGACTACCAGTACTATTGTCTGATTTACACAAACATTTAATGAAAAAAAAATATTCATTTTTCCTTGTGCTACTCTGTTGTCCAAATATTGCAACTATTCAACAAGTTAAAAAAGATAAAAAGGTGGAAATAATTTTTATAGGTGTCACGTCCCACCTGCCGGAAGGGGAGAGTGACTAAGGTTCGCAAATCCCCCCGGTGTGGATTAAGGTGAGATAACACTCAAGGTCCAAACATGAACTTCAACTTTAATGGCACGAACACTTCTATAAGCATCAACCCTCTATGTCTTAATATATCATACAAGCTAAGCGGCTTTGTGAGGAGCTGAGGTAGGCCTTGTGTTACTTAGCAGCATCA